TTTGGACTAAAGTTTGCGGTGTACCGTATAGCATAAACCATAGAGGGACCATAATGGTAGATTAGTGTAAACATTCTGATACCATAGCTAAACCCTAAACCCTAAACCGCCCTAAACCCTAAACCGCCCTAAACCCTAAACCCTAAACCCTAGCCATAGTACATGTAAACGCAAAGCCGAATCAGACCCCTACGCCATGACCATAACCAACATTTCCACAGGACTCAACCTGCTCCCTACATTGTTGCGGGCTTAAGGCTTTGGGCTTAGGCTAAGCGTAGACCGCTGGTCTGTTAACCCCGTCCCCTTTGTGGGGGTTATGGGCGGGATCCCCGTGTCGAGGCCCTTCCAGACGAGGTAGTTTATCGATCAAGGGTCTACATGAGCTAGGATACCCAGTAACCTAAGAACAAAAAGGCCTCTCTTTTTGGTATTGGGTAACTTTATAAGGAACCTAGGACTACAAAAAGGGAATAAGGGTACTACTGGGCATCCTAGTGAGTGGCGAACGAGCTTTTGTAAAATCGGCGCAGGTGAGCCGGATGTATTTCACATCTCTTCCAAAGACGAGGTCAATCCAACACCATCTGCTTCGGAAAGGGGGGGCGGATCTCAAGATCGCATCCTTGCCTGCTCGCAGGTGGTCGTTGGAATATGGGAGTTTTCGACAATCGGGGACCCTAACATAGTACCCTATAAATAGTAGGATCCTTATTCGAACGACCCTAAAATAACGTACCCTTAATTCTCGGAAAATCCTAGACCCTTAACCCTAAACCCACCCTAAACCCTAAGTCAACTCTAAACCGTCATCAAGGTCGTACGTTTGATGATATGAATCCTGCATTGCCCATAATAAGGAACATACCATAATTCCCATAGTTTAGGGTCCTTAAGGTAATGCAGGATTTATATCATCAACCGTAGAGACCTTCTCTTCGACTTCCTCGAAGTGCATCGAGTCGAAGTTCATGCCAAGCCACGAAGAATACGAGACAGCTGTCGGGTTTAGGGTTTAGGGGCCTTACTAATTAATTAGAATAGGGCTCCCTTTAAATGGGGTCTATAAGGGCTACTCTTAGGGATCTATAAGGGCAATATAATGTAGGGGCCTGAATATTTACAATAGGGTTTTGGCCGGCTCCATATTTATTCATTTATTCATAGTGCAGTTTACCCCCAAACCCGAACCCTGTTCTAATTATCAAGGCCCCTACACTATTAGCAGATCCATTTGCGAGGCACACTACCACTCTTTGCTCAAGACGGGTCGCTGCAGCCATATGGGTGGTTGTCATAATTATGATCCCTTTTGGGGTCCCTATTACAATACGGCTTCCTTTATTTCGGGTACCCAGAAAAGGGACCATAATTTTGACAACCACTCACGTAGTTTGTTTAGGGAGCTCCTTGGTCCTTGTCGCCGTTGTTTGGGGTTTCGGGCTCTGCCAAGGGCCTGCAGAGGCGGAATTGAAGGTAGGGAGGCGCGAGAATGATCCCACATGGAAGGACGCCTACTTGGGATTAAGATGTTTATCGTTTAGGATTTAGGGTTCAGGATGTAGTGCTCAGATTAAGGTTTAGGGCTTCGGGTTGAGGGATTCAGGGTTTAGGGTTGACGGATAAATTCCTCAGACTCGAAAATTTCGAGGCCACTAACTTATCTCGACATCCCGACTAGACTCTGCCGTAAGGCCTACGTACTTACTAAGAGCGACTTTCGGAAGCAGGGTCTGAGGGCCCTTATAGTATCAACTACAGAGTCATACTAACTGCAGGCCCTGTGTATCTTCCGTATCCGAGCTGCTAGGGCGACCCCCGAAGTAGTTGCCAGAGCTTATCCCCGAACCCCAACCCAAAACCCTGCAAGCCTTTTTAACCTGATACACCTATATGCCGTGAGCCCTAGAAACCCTAAAACCTGCAAGCCCTATACGTCTTAAGCCCCATGAGGACGTCCGAGCCCGAATCCCAAACTCAGATTCGAACCAGCTCCTTCTCCATGTGCTCGCGTTTCCTGTGGTTGAAAGCCTATGGTGAAACGCTGAGCGTTTACGATTCTGGGGTTTCGAACTTAAGCCCCAAGTCAGTCCTAACCACGAGACCAAAACTTATCTTGTCGAGACGCTACTAAATGGGTTTTGTTTGGGCTTGGGAGGCTTGCATAGCCTAACCATGCATGTAAGTAACCGTAAGGGCAGGCCCGTAAGACGAAGGGCACTTGTTTATTCTCGTATTCAGTTATATAACTTCTTGGAAGGAGGCTCTACAGAATCGGGTGCTGCTGAAAGAGTCAAGCTTGAGACTCTAAAGCCCTGAACGCAAACAGCTGAAACCACGGCCCTGCACGAACCCTCCAAGTACCATGTAAGAAAGACTTGATGAGGGACGATTGGGCTACGAGGGGCGGGGGTACAGGTAGACCTTGAAGGCGTACCTCAATGCTCTTGAACCCTCATAGTGAGATCCCAATCCCGCAGACAGCCCTGCACATGCTTAGGGACCCTAAACCCTAAACCCTAAACTCAACCCCTGCATGGTCTGAGCAACATCATCCCCCTTCGATAACCCTAGAAGTTGACTTCAATGCATACCTCGCAACACATTCCAACTACATTCGAGTCCCAGAAAAGCCCAAACAAATGAACTGCTAATACCCAGGGAAGCCCTGAGAACCCACTATACCCTACACCTTAATGTCTCTGGCTGTCCTCCTCTCGAATTCTTCCCTTCGCCGTTTCTCGGCCTCCTCCTCTTCTTCCCAACCTGGGCTTGGCACGCTGCTGCATGTTTGTTTTCCGGGCCCTGTAAATGTTCTCTCGAGGTTGGTTCAGTTCCACAAGGTTTCTAGTAAATTCATTCGGGACTTTATAAGGGTCGTGGAAGGGTCCACAATAAACTCTAAACCCTATTTGGAGGTTCAGGGGTAGTTATAAGTAAAGTAACTAAGTATAATTATAACCCGTATTAGGGGACTTATAACTCCACTTATAACTACCCATGAACCTCCAAGTAAACCCGGAAGTACTGGAACTCGATCGTTTGCGGCTGGAACTGGCTCCTTCGTGACAGGCATATCCGCAGGAGCTGGGGCCTCTGACATATCTCTACTATTGGGGCCGGAATAATTAGAATAGCCTTCCCCTAGCGGCTTCCTGTAAGGGATACCATTAGGTTTCTGCAAGAGGTTTAAGGTTTGGGGGCCTCTGACATGTCTCTGATATAGGGGCTGAATAATTAGAATAGGCTCCTCCAAAAACATGAGTCCTCAGAGCTTAAGGCTTGAACCCTCAACCCTGAAACCGACGATAACCTACTTCTTCCTGTCGCGCCGGTATGCTAAAACGAATGATATCGAACTCAATAAGGACCCTGCAAGACAGGGCGGGTTCTCGTGGCTATGGGCCGTACATATGGGTCTGAACAACTAGCAATCACATGACTTTTGGTTCTCGAAGCTGCGCTATACATGTGGGCTCCGAAGCCCCTATTCCAAGTGTTAAAGCCCCAATAAACAAACCTTTCTAAACCCCTGCAGAAGCCTATCAAAGCCTTGAGGAACAACAAATGGGAGTTTCCGAAATTAGGGGTATCGGATTTTGGGGTCCCTATAATAAGGATCCTACTATTTAAGGTACTAGGTGTCCTAAACCCTACCCAGGCTCCATCTGGACCCGACCCTAGATAAGTTAAACAACCTACTATGTAGGTACGGCCCCCGCTCAGTAATAGTTGAATAATGTTCATAATATAGATATAGTAGGACCTCAATAGTAGCCCTATTATAGACTCGCAGTAGCAGCCTTCATTATTAGAATAAGGCTTTGGGGGCCAAAGTACTATAGTTGTAACAAGGAGCCCCTAAAATAGGATTGGTAATTATCTAGGCCCCTATACTAAACCCCCATAATACCCCATATAGTACTCCTTATAGACCCCGTTAAGAGGAGCCCTTTAAAGGGAACCCCTATTCAAGTTATTTTGGCCCCTAGAATAACTTCTGGGAAAGGAAAGCAGAAGGAGGAGCCCCTGACAAGGCATTTTCTGTCCCCTTTTTGGGTTTTGGGCAACTTTAGAAGGAACCTAGGACTACAAAAAGGGAATAAGGGGACTTCTGCCCTGAACCCTAAAACCCCGAAACCCTAAACCCTAAAAATCCTAAACCCTCCAACCCTGAACCCCCTGAGGACCGGTCGACGCTGCCTCTCCAACCGGTCTTCTGACCTACGGGCTGTAAGTGCTCCTAGGCCTAGGGTTTATTTTATGGGGCTTAGGGTTATATTATAGCAGGGTTTGTATCGGAATCTGAGGTTCATATATGAGTTTATGGGTTTAGGGTCATGGTTATAGGCTTATAGGGTTTACATATGGGCTTAGGGTTACAAGGTTTATATATAAGCTTAGTTATGGTTATGATGGAAAACATGGGTGCTTGGATCCTTAGGGTTCAGGGTCAGCCTAGCAACATAACTGCCTAAGATGCACTCAGCCCTCAAAACCAGGCCGTCCAACCTCTCTACGGTTTAGGGCTTACCTAAACCCCGCAAAAATATGTGAAATGATGGCCCAACACCGAAAAAACTATTGTTCTACTTATTTTTTATGTCTGGTAAACCAGAAAAAGCAAATGCAATCCCGTGGGCGTTGCGATTTTGCACCGGAGCGCCGGCTCATCGACCAGGGTCGATCTCCGCAATTCCCTCAAAGAAGGGTATATGGCCGCTGATAGTAGGCACTTTACTTGGAGGACTCTTTGGGAAACTTGCTCCCTGCAGAATTCCTGGGCGGGCTGGGAAACCGAATTTGCAGAGGATCAATACTCACGGTCAGAGACTCCAATACCCTTTAATTAAAGAACACACTTTACATCATATTATAGATCCTGCTATAATTCAAGGTATATTCCTTACCTGGACCCCAGAAGTATGTAGAATAGAATAGCCTTTTATAGGTTTTGGACCATTATTTTACCTACTTTGAGGGGTCTAGGTATTCCGTAATTAATGGATATTGGCGTCTCTGGGCGGACTGCACATCGATGCAATGGGCTTGGAGCATTCGCCCCAGAGACTCCGGCAGTAGAAGCAGGACTTGAGGATGACCTTTCCTTAGTTGCTGAGTTCATGAGCCCAGAAAAGTGTATGCTTTCAGTTTTATAGTGGATAAGATTATCCCAAAGTGTTGCTGAGTTCATAAGCCCCCCAACGTGTACATTTTCAGTTCTATAGTGGATAATTGCTGAGTTCATAAGCCCCAAAAAAGTGTATGCTTTCAGTTTTACAGTGGATAAGATTATCCCAAAAAGTGTAAAGTCTATACCTTTCCTAGACTGTTCGGTAGCTGAATTGCTTCGGATCGGTCTCGTGAACCTAATGGTGGGGCCTTAATAATTAGACTAGGATACCCAAAGACTTGGTTGACATTATAAGGAACCTAGGACTACAAAAAGGAATAAGGGTACTTCTGGGCATCCTAGTAGAATAGGGTTTTTAGGGCCCATTAAACTAGGCTGTTCAGTAACCCACATATAGTTTTTTGGGGCTTCTTATTTTACAATAGGGACCCAGAAACCTGAAAGTCAAAAAGTGCACCACCGCACAGTCTGACCCACAAACTCTTATTTGGTAATAGGGACCCAGAAAGCTGAAAGTAAACAAGTGTACCACCGAACAGTCTGGTTTCTCAGAGTCAAAGCAATGAAGTGCTTGCTGCCGGCCGGGTCCTGGGCACCGGCCTCCAACAGCAGGCGCGCGACTTCAAGGTTACCTCATGGTTGGGATAGGATTAAGAATTTCAATGTTTATTCCTTATTGGGTTTACGTACCCATAAAAATGTATAATGTTATCCAATTTATGACAAAGTTACCTTGTCCAGATGCGATCGACAAAGCTGTGAAGCCGTTGTTGTCGGCCACGCTTGTGTCGGCACGAGCCTCCAACAACACGCGGACGACTTCGGCTTGGCTGCTACCACATGCGAACATCAAAGCTGTGAAGCCGTTGTTGGAGACCAGGTCTTTGTCGACACCAGCCTCCAACAGCAGGCGCACGACCGCAACAAGACCTTGCCCGGATGCCATCGTCAAAGCTGTTAAGCCGTGGTTGTCTGGCAGGTTTGTGTTGGCACGGGCCTCCACAAGCAACTGCACAGCTTCGACATGACCTTGCAGAGATGCCAGCATCAAAGCTGTCGAGCCGTTGTGGGAGGCTAAGTTCTTGTCTGCACCGGCCTCCAACAGAAAGCGGACGACTTCGACGCGGCCTTGCCCAGATGCCGTCATCAACGCCGTCAAACCGACATTGCTACCCAGATTTATGTCCGCACCAGCCTCCAGCAGCAAGCGGGCGACTTCGACATTGCCTCTAGGATGCCCAGTAACCAGGAATAAAAAAGGTTCCCTTTTGGTATTGGGTAGCTTTATAAGGAACCTAGGACTACACAAAGGGAATAAGAGTACTACCGGGCATCCTAGCCCCTAATTCTCGGAAATCCTAAACCCTTTATAGAACCCTTATAGATCCCTTTAAGCAACCCTGAAAGGTCCTGTTAAACGTACCCCTAATCAAGGCTACTACTGGGCAGCCTAGCCCCTCAACTAAGGAAGTATATTCTTTATCGGCTTTAACGAAACTAGGAACCTTAGTCTGGTTTAAGGTGATTAAGATAAGGGGGCTTTCGAGTCTCTGGCTGTTTCCACCTATTATAGATCCCTTAAAGGAACCCTTATAGATCCCTTTAAAGGTATCCCTAACAAGGGTACTACTGGTTCCATCCTAAACCCTAAACCATAAAAACCCCTAAACCGTATTATAGATCCCTTAAAGGAACCCCCAAACCCCCACTGGGCATCCTAGGCCTTGATCCGAAACCCTAAAACCCTAAACCCTCTAACCACACACCCTGAACCCTATTATAGATCCCTTAAAGGAACCCTTATAGATCCCTTTACAGGTATCCTTATAGACCCCCTTAAAGGAACCCAAACCCCCACTACTGCGCATCCTGGAGGCCTTGATCCGATGCCATCGTCAAAGCGGTAACACCATTGGTGCCGGCCACGCCTAGGATCCCCAGTAACCATAGGCCGTACGGTTGATGATATAATCCTGCCTTACTTTAAGGGCCCTAAACTATGGGAATTTTGGTATATTCCTCATTATGCTAGGATACCCAGTAACCTAAGAACAAAAAGGCCTCTCTTTTTGGTATTGGGTAACTTTATAAGGAACCTAGGACTACAAAAAAAGGAATAAGGGTACTACTGGGCATCCTGGCCCCTAATTCTCGGAAATCCTAAACCCTTTATAGAACCCTTACAGATCCCTTTAAGGAACCCTTATAGATCGCTTTAAGGAACCTAGGACTACAAAAAAGAAATAAGGGTACTACTGGGCATCCTAGCCCCTAATTCTCGGAAATCAGAAACCCTTTATAGAACCCTTACAGATCCCTTTAAGGAACCCTTATAGATCGCTTTAAGGAACCTAGGACTACAAAAAAGGAAGAAGGGTACTACTGGGCATCCTAGACGCTCTTGTCGGCCCCGGCCTCCAGCAGCCTGGAGTCTTGTTGTTTAACCCTAAGGGTCCATGTCCCATGATCCTTTAAGTAAGGGTCCATGTAGCCGAATAGGGGTTCCTTTCAGTGTTCCTTCAAGGGTTACTATAAGTGTTCTATAAGGGTTCTATAGGGGTTCTAATAGGGGTTTAAGGGTCCATGTACCCAAATAGTATATACTTTGGGCCCAATGTACCTATATAGGGACTACATTAAGGCCAATGTATATACTATTTGGGTACATGGACCCTTAAGGTAAGTTACCCTAGCTTGGGGGTCCCTTTAAAGGGTTCTATGAGGGATTTAGGGGCTTAAGGGTTTTAATTAAAGGTGCACAATACGGAAACCATACTATGTACTCTAGATCCCTATCATGGTAATTTTAACTTAACTTCCTCAACAAGAACCTAGCAGCAAGCGCACGACGTCGACATGACCTTGCACAGATGCCATCATCAAAGCTGTCACACCGTTGTTGCCGGCCGAGTTTTTGTCGGCACCGGCCTCCAGCAGCAACTGCAAAACTTCCACATGACCTTGCGAAGATGCCACCATCAACGCCGTCCAGCCATTCTTGCCGGCCAAGTTCTTGTCAGCGCCGGCTTCCAACAGCAAACGCACGACCTCGATGTGACCCTGCATAGAGGCGATCGTCAAAGCTGGGTGCTCTCTCGTGCCGAACAAATCCGGATCCTGGGATTCAAGGTTTGGGGTTTGGAGGGCTGAATTAGGATCCCCCGTAACATAGACATAGGCATAAAGGGGCTTCCTTTTCGTTATTGGGCAGTTTTGTCAGGAACCTAAGACCACAAAAAAAAACAAGAAGAGAAGGCCCACTGGTAGACCCAGGATCTTGGGGCAGCTGCATCATGGACTCAACCTGAAGAGATGTTGGACACTTGACAGTCGCAGCTACCGAGTAAGACAGCAACTCTGCCAGCTTCTGAATTGCACCTCTTGGCTAGACCCCTAAACCCTAAACCCCTGAACCCTAAACCCATAAACCTTATAAACCCTAAACCCTTGAACCCTAAAACCTAAACCCCCAGAAATTGTTGCGTTCCGCTTGTTGGGCCAGACCTCAAACCGGACACCGCGAAGCCCAACAATGCCAAACCGACTAATGTAGGAACCTGATGAAAACAGCCCTGGGCCTATAACCCCGAAATAATACCCTAAACCATAAACCCTAAACCGTAAACCCTAAACCCTAAACCCTAAACCCTAAGGAACCGTAACGAAGACCCTGGGTTTCTTAATCAGGTTCCTACGTTGGTTTCAGGCATCACCTGTCCTGGGAACCCTCAAATACTGGGTAATGACCGAGCGGACTCATATTCTCCATCGAAGTTCCTTTTGGCGAAACATTTTCATTTTCAGGACTCCAATATACGTATTAACAGGTGTTAACAAAACAAGAGGCTACTATGGCGAATAAAGGCAGTGGCAATGTCAGGAACTAAAATAGGGGCCTCGGTCATTCGAACATGGTTTTGGAGTTCAGCAAGATCCTCCGCCGGAAGTAATTACAAGGGGTTTAGTTTAGTCTTCTGGGCGCTCAAGGCATGTTTAAGACTACAGCACTTCATACGGTTTTGTGCAGGTGCGCACGCTGTTTCATTCGACGTTACCCACCTCGGAAACGGAGCCCTGCTCAGCAGCGTCTGCAAGGTCTTCTACCTGCTGTTGAGAAACATCGGCGAATGTCAACAGCACTAGATCCAAGTTCATCGGGGAGTTCAGCATCACAGTATCCTTCAAAGTATCGCCGTGGAAGAGAATCCTCTGCCTAAATCGCGGAGGGAGGCCATGCAGCTGATTCAGGCGCTGCTTCAAACCCTTCACGTCCTGTACCTCCTCCACAGGTATACTGGTCACGGCTTCTCCGGAGAGCATCCGGAGTTTCAGCATCTTCATGAAGCAGAAATGTGAATCCAGCAAAGAAAAGCCGGGGCATGCCCACAGCAGCACGACCTAGTAGACCAATCCAACCACCACGCGGTGCCTACAACGTTTGACCTTACAAAGCATGTGCGAATGCCTCTGCCTAGCCGAACTCCAACCCTGAACCTAAACCCGCGATCTTGACAAAGCCCTAACAAGCCCTAAATTAACCTGTGGATCCCTACCTGTGTGCATCGGAATGCTTCGACCTTGATGTCAGCCTCATGTGCCAAGACCGGTTCCTTGGGCAACAAGCGACAAAGCAAACTAAGTGCGGTCCCATTGTCTGAAGTTCCTATACTGAACTTAGAACCCTAGCAAGAATTATGATTTTAGCTGTTTCTTGGGGATTACAATAACCAACAATTAAAAAAAATATTTCTAAGTACCCCTAAGGTTCGTGGTCTTGGAGGTGGCACCCGAAACCCTAGGCCCGAAACCCAACACGCTACCGAGAGCCCGACACCTCTATTATGCCCTAGATACCACTACCAAGGACCATGAGGCTCCATTGAAGGGCCATTGAGGGTTCCTGCGACATGAGGGATCAATCACCTCCCTAAACCCTGAACCCCTAAACCCTAAACCCCTAAACCCCCCTGAACCCTAAACCCTAAAGGTAAACCCGAAACCGCCCACGGCCTAGACAGGCAGAAGCTTGGAAAACTGGGTTTAGGGTGAGAGATCCCGCGGGGCGTTTAGGATTTAGGGTCTTAGGGTCTTGGAATTTTAGGGCTTTAGGGGTTTAGGGTTTAGGGTTAGGGGTTTAGGGTTTTAGGGTCTGAGGATTTTGGGGTTTTAGGGTTTAGTTTAGGGCTTAGAGAGTTCGGAAGAGATTAGGGAGCGTTCCATGTTTCGATTCCCGATCATGACTTGGATCGCTAGGTTTAGAGCCTGGTGATGTGGGATTCCTGTTAACTCCATCGTGTCCTGCGCGGCTTCAGCAAGCCAAAGAAAGGTCAACAACGGTTAGGGCTTAGGGTTAGTCTAACCCTAAAGGCCCTAAACCCTAAACTCTAAACTCTAAACCCTAAACCCTAAACCCTAAACTCTAAACCCTAAACCCTAAACCCTAAACTCTAATAGAGTTTAGGGCAACCCCAGGAGTGAAGTGGCCCTAAACCATAATCCGTAACCTTAACCCTCAAAAGCCCACCTGGTTTCATTCATTGGGACCCTTGGGGGGCAAGGGGGGGGCCGTATGAGCCCTAATGAGGATCCGACTTGATAAGGGTCTAATAAGGCATATTTAAAGAAGTGTAGCTCCCTAACCCTCTCCCCCATACCCCCCTATCGCTATGATTAATTATGAATGGTGAACCCTGAGAAGGAAGGCTGTATAGGGCCCACACGCACCACTCTTTATACTCGCACGTTTGTATGGTAACCCACGTAAGGTACTCGCATGTTCAGCTCGTCCGGTTTAGAGCCCTACAAAAGCCTCTACAACACAATCGAGTTTTCACCGGCTGCGGTGAGCCCTGAACCCTAAACCTTACCCGAAGGGTCCATGTACCCAAATAGTATATACTTTGAACTTTGGCCGAAAAGCACTCCCAATATAGGTACATTGGGAGCAAAGTATATACTATCTGGGTACCCTAAACCCTAAACCCCTAAACCCTTAACCCCTAAACGCCTCAACCCCAAATCGTAAACCCCTAAACCTTAAATCCCCATAGATCCCTTTTAAGGAACCCATTTAATTTACATGCTATATAAGCACTATGATAGGATCCTCTAAGCACCCAAGTTGAACCCCTAAACCCCTATAAACCATGGACCCTTGGGGTTAAGCCGGGAACTGAAAGACCGTCTCCACCCTAAGGGTCCTAACAAATTGGAGGACCTCAAAGAGACCCAAGGACTCTCCCTAGGAGATTCCGGACCCTCCTAAGGAGATACCTGGACCCTTAGGGCAGACAATCTTCGGGACGCAACATTAACATGGACCCAAACAGAGTGCATACTTTGGCGTTTACAAGTATTCCAATTGTGGTTACTTTTTTCTTCCGCCAAAAAACTTGAAAAGTATTCCTTTTGGGGTATTGTTATTCTAAAACCAAAGTAGAGTATGGCTACTTGAAAATGGAAGACAGGAACCCATGATGAGTGCAACGGCCCCTCTACATGAAATCATGCACAGACCCTTATATAGCCCCGCAAGAGCCGTGTGGGAGTTTCCGAAAATTAGGGGTACCTTCTTTGGGGTCCTTATCATAACGATCCCACTATTTAGGCCCGCATGGTTCAACCATTGGACAGCACTTAAAGGACCCTAGTCTGACTGCTGTCTTGAGGCCTTTGCAAGTGCTCAAAGGCGCAAAACACAAAGATGCAGGGGATGGCGGCTCGATTTTGCGCCGTAGCAGCTGTTGAAAACAAGTCTAGCAGCTCAGCCGAGATAGCCCAGTTTGTTACAGGGTTTTGCCGGGCTTCATGAAGGCTTTAGGGTTCTCCGTATTGGAGCCTCAACAAATAGAACAGGGCTTAGATGGTATATTATGCTAGCGTGATAAGTTGGCAAGCCAAAGGAAGGCTGCTGCTGTCGTTATTCAAAATCCCGTAGTACTGCAGATTCCCCTGAATCTGAATGGGGGATGTTGCTTGAATCAAGTACAACATCTTTTCCCGCGGAATAATGCCCCAACCACTAAGTGTAATGGCAAAGCCCCTAAATTCTACTGTCCCATTTGTTATCTCCTCAAGCGGAGAAGAGGTGTCTCACTGGCATCATCGGAAGGGGCTGGCAGCCACACACTGCAGATCAGCACAAACGGCCTTAAGCATCCAAACCATAGATGCCACAGACTCCTGTAGCAAGCGCAGGGTGCATATAAGCCAATTTTACGGGCCAACAATCGCCCGACCTCACCATGCCCCTGTCTACATGCGATCCTCAAAGCCGTCTGGCCGTTGTTGTCGGCCAAGTTTTGGTCGGCACTAGCCTCCAACAGCAGGCGGACGACTTCGGCATGACCTGACCCAGATGCCATCATCAAAGCTGTAGACCCAAAGTTGGCAGCCAGGTTTGTGTTGGCACCGGCCTCCACCAGCAATTTTGCAGCTTTGACATGACCTTGTACAGACGCCAGCATCAAAGCTGTTTGGCTCCTGTTGGTGGTCAAGTTTCGGTCTGCGCCGGCCTCCAACAGCAAGCGCACGGCTTCGACATGGCCTAGACCAGATGCCAATATTAAAGCTGTCGCGCCGTTGTTGTCGGCCAAATTCTTGTCGGCACGGGACTCCAGCAGCAAGCGCACGACTTCGACATGACCTAGCCTAGATGCCACCATCAAGGCGGTGACGCAACGGGATCCGGTCAAGTTGTTGTCGGCACGGGCCTGCAGCAGCAAGCGCACGACTTCAGCATGTCCTGACCCAGATGCCATCGTTAAAGCTGTGTAGCCGTTGTTAGCGGTCAAGTTCTTGTCGGCACCGGCCTCCACCAGCAACTGTGCAGCTTCGACACGACCTTGCAGAGATGCCAGCATCAATGCTGTGAAGCCGTTGTTGGTGGTCAAGTTCTTGTCGCAGCGGGCCTCCAGCAGCAAGCGCACGATTTCTATATGACCCTGTCTAGATGCAATCGTCAAAGCTGTGTAGCCGGTGTGGAGGGCCAAGCTCTTGCTGGCGCCGGCTTCCAGCAGCAAGCGCACGACTTCGATGTGACCCTGCATGGAGGCGATCGTCAAAGC